GCAATAAAAAGTACACAAACAAGTAAAGCGATACTAGTTGGATAGATTTGAAAACGACTTTCAATCCATACTTTGGTTAGCAAATTTATGCTGCTTCATTTCGCTATATAGATCGCAATGCCAGCAAAAGTAGGGATTTAAAATCGTTTTAAAATCTATATAACTAGTATCACTTTATTCATTTGTGTACTTTTTATTGCAGCATTTATTTTGTTTTCGATACTTCTTATAGCAATTCTATGAATAATTAACGATCCCTACTTTCCGTTAAATTAAATGAAAGCAGAAACAGTATTTCTACAAAATATGTTTCTTATATCCAATTACCATGCATTATATTGTCTCTTTTCATGGTTAATTCAAGGTCATTCTAAAATATTTGACTAGTTTCAACATATACTCCTAAATGAAATTATCAGTTTTGACATCTTGAATAAAATATATTTCTCTGTGTATATATTTTACACATTATTCAATGAAGTGTAATTTTTCTATTACATTGAACTGTTCAGTTGATTCAAAAATTTATTTTTGAGAGAATCACCAAAGGATCGTCCCATTTTCTCAGATACTTAGAAGACAATGTACGTTCATCTTTTTGATGGCGCTTTAATTAGGAATAAACGTTTTTCTGTTAGGCTACTGCATGCAAAAAATAATACAAATTTATCGTTATCGAAAGAGCTTACCTCTTTGTACTACGACAAATGGAACTTAATATTCTTCATTGTATCAAGTTTTCTTCCTGCTGTGTAGCGAAATAAAACAGGAGTCTTATCGAAGCTTTATTTAGTATTTTTAATGATCAGGCACGTTACATATTGTTATGCATCTTCTTCCAAATAGACAATTGAACAGTCTAAACCTGAATATTTCTGAGTTTCGTTAACATCCTTGCATACGCTAAACAAACAAATGTAATAATAAACAACAAATGCTTATTACCAAATTATATTCATTCGAGAAGTTGTATAAATAAATAACTGTTCAGTTTCAGATATCTTCGAATTACCTTTAGTTTCTGTTTGAATTTTAAATCGAACCGTTACTGCAACTTTCTAACAAATATTTTGATAAAATAGTAGATTATATTATATCTTTGCAAAAAAGGAGGAAAAAAATACAAAGAATAATTTATATGAACATGCCATAAATATATGTGATTGAGAAAAAAAATCAACTTATTGAAAAATTTATCGAAGGTTCCTTTATCACACGTAGCCGATTTGTTGCAACATTATAAAAAATTAATAAACAAAAAAAATGATCCACGTACAAATAACTTTCAAGTAAAATAAGTATAATTTACAAACATCAATAACTAAGTTAAACATCAGATGCATCATTTTATTGCAACTGTAGGCTCAAGGCAACTTACATCTCAAAAAGTTGTATTAGATAAATGTAATAAAAACAGGCTTATAATGTTCAGTGAGTAATGTAAAAAATATGTGATATTTTACTATATTCAAAGATATCGTTTATGAATCACTAGGCTGTAACCTAGGGAAATAGTTGAAGTCCTATTTAACAAACAGTGAAATGTGTGGAGAAAAGATAACACACAACACTCTGTCATTATTTGTTAAATTTAAAAGTATTCGATAAGGAAATCATGGTTGTTAATACCGTTACACAATATCTATATCATTGTGTTTCGCACCATTGTTAAATTATGTTTTAGAGAGAAGTTGAACACAAAAACATCTGTAATGCAGGACTTAAATTCAGCTGTAAATAAAGGATATTTTAATCTGTAATTCAGAAACAAGTTAATTTCAATCTCAGGGGAATGATGAGAGTGTTTTGCGTAACAGACAATGAATTTATTCTGTTTTTTTTACAAGTGGAATTATAGGTTCTGTTTCACGTTTTCATCCTCAGGTGACCCACCTCCGGATATCACCTGGTGGCAAAATTCAGCTATACTAGACGATGATTATATAATTACGCCGTTGAAAATAGCCAGGAATGAATTAGTCATTGAAGTTTTAGAGAGAGAACATCTATGGACCATACTAACCTGTCAAGCATCAAATACAAATTTTACCCCGCCTGTCTCGAGTTCTATCACATTAGATATGAATTGTAAGCTGTTTTAATTACTTATTATAATATTAATTCAAATACTTAATTTTATAAACATCTTCTACCTCTCGTGTTTAAGAATATATGTTACATTCATAGACCTCAGAGAGTAATTATTTACTACAGATTATCTTCTGGCGTCCGCTATGGAGTTGAAAAATATAATATATGACTTACATATATTTTCACCTGCCTACAATAAACAATGTCACACGTAAAATGAATACAAACAAAACTAGGATGCAACCTAAAGTGTAGGACGAGTAGAGTTACAGTGCTTTTCAGATTTAATCTATATTTGCGATCCTCACATTTATTAAAAAATAAAAACAATATATTGATGCACAAGCTCATAACATCCGACATCTAAAACTAACATCCACCATCAGCAACCAGATGTAGTTTTCATTGCTCCTTTTTTGAAATTCGAAAGAATAATGCTATTTTTCGTTCATATAATTGTATAACTTTCTAATCTAGACATTTTAGATTTTATTGTTTTGGTATTCGACCTTTATGATTTGCAGCAGGCTGTTTAATATATAACTTGTTTTGTTTTGATTAGGACCAACTAGCTTCCCAAAACTGGCTGCACACGCTAACTAAAAAATGTAGGATGCATTTTTGTGTTGTTTTTTTCTTTGTCTAATGTGTGCGACGTTATCTGATTGTTCTTGGCCATGTCTGAAAGTTGTGTTATAAATCATCAAAGCAAGAGCATACTATTTTGTTACGCTCTCCTTCGTTTAGATGGTAAAACTTACAAAGTCGTTTTTTCGTCTTTATATTTATATTCAAATTTCTGTAAGCTTGTTTATTAAGTATTGAGTAAAGTATTTTATGTGTATTTCTGAAGTGAAACCGTTATACGTCCGTATAACATCAAGAAGAAGGCCTTTATCGGCAAGTGAGAAAGTTCATTTGGAATGTTACTCATGGGGTTCTAGACCTCCAGCTAGAATGACATGGTGGAAAGATGGAAAAAAAATCTTCTCAGCCTCTGCGATAACAACAGCAGAAAATATTACTATCAGCAATTTATATTTTACACCAGAAATTGATGATAATGGAAAGCTATTGACTTGTCGGGCTGATAATCCAGATATCGTAAATAGTGCCTTAGAAGCTGAATGGAAACTTGATGTAATATGTAAGTTTGATGTGAAATATTTAAATGCAAAATATGTCAAAGCAGTATCCAATAATGTAGATTATACATAGAAAACAGTGAAATATGTGGCTAACAAAATAATCCTCATGATTCTATAATGAAAATAACTTAAACGTCCTTAGATCTTCATTGGAAATTCTTGTTGATTGAATTTGACAAACTTTAATATAGATATAAGCCTAAATCTTCGTGATTATTAAATGTACCTCACAGAAAAAGGTAATAGCATATTAAGTGAAACTAATACCATAGGTGTAGCTAGGATAAATGATAATTTTGACAAAAACAACCGTTCAGTTCTAGAAAACATTCTATGGTTTATCTTTCAAGCATTGATAAAATCTATGATAGAGGACATTTGTCAAGCCGTAAGCTGTTACATTAAAATGTGGACTTTTTAGATGGATACATACGTAAACAACTACTGTCAAGTTTTCCTCTCCTTCATAATGCAGTTTTGTAGAGTGTGTAATATACTTGCACATCAATCAGCTGATCTCAGGTACACATTTCTGAGTGACAATTTGAAATAAACAAATCTATAGATAAACAAACATTAATACACTAATAATGGTTGGAGACGGCTTGAATGGGTAATGAAGAAAAACTTTAATTATGACGACAAAACCTTGTCGAAACGTTGTACATTTGCTGTTATGTTAAACT